AAATGGGTACACCTTGAGACCATTAAGTAAAGCAAATCAGACAGAAAGCCAAATACTGCATGGTTTCTCTGGTGTGAGACCAAAACGTATAACAGATACTGGGAAATGGGAAGAAAATGTTCACATAAGAAGGGGAGGGCTGGCCTGATAGCTCAGTGGACTAAAGTGCCTGCTTAGGCAGAGCGCAGCGGCCAGGGTTCGATCCCTGGCATGCCCTGCCGGCCCTGCCCCTGGGGTTTGCTGAGATGGCGATTCAGACTGGGTGTGGTGGTGCACCCCTATAATCCCAGCACTTGGAAGGCTCAACACATGAAAATCACTACGAGTCTGATCTCCATAGTGAGACCCTATAGACCCTGTCCTAAATACCAAAAAAAAAAAAAAAAAAAGAATAAAAGGGAAAGTAAAGAATTAAAAAAAAGAAAAAAACGGGAATAAGGCTTTTGAAAATAAAGCAGGGAAGAGGGGCTGAAGGGAGGGGAATGGGGAAAAAAAAGCAAGATGTATCATATACAGGTACAAATTCCCTGATATTATCACTATGTATATCTAAAATGTACCAATAAATTTAAAAAAATATTGTCCACGTTGGCCTAGGACTTGTGATCCTCCCATCTCAGGTTTTTTTTTTTTGGTCTTTTTTCAGACAGGGTTTCATGCAGTTCAGGCTGGCCTTGAGCTCACTTCATAGCCCAGGATGGTTTTTAACTCTCAGTGATCCTCCTGCCTCAGCCTCTTGAGAGCTAGGATTACAGGTGTGCGATACCACATCTGGCCCAGCTAGGATTTAAACTTAAGACAAACAACTGGCTCATCTCTGTGTGTTCCTCACTGCTACATGACTTTTCCTTTTATGTATTGTCATGTTTTCCAGAAAAATGGTAATATCCTTTTTTTTCTCTTTTTGAGACAGTCTTGTTATTTAGCTCAGGCTGCTCTTGTAGTCATTTTGTAGCCCATGCTGGTCTCAAATTCACAGTGATCTTCCTGCCTCAGCCTCCCAAGTGCCAGCCTTTCAATTTAGCCAGGATCACAGTCACATGCCACTTATCTGTCTTTTTTTTT